AAGGTAGATATTAACCCAACTAAATCAATAATCACATTAAACATCAATGGTCTAGATATAATTGGAAGACAGATACTGTCATAGTGGATAAAAATAACACCTAATACATATTCTCAAAAAGAAACATTAAATATACAGAAACATACATTAAAAAGAAAGGCATGAAGAAAGATAAAGATATACCATGCTAACAATAATAAAAAGAAAGCTCACATAGCTATATTAACTTCAGACAAAGCTGACTTCCTCGCATGAAAATCTCAGTGATAGAGGGGTGTTGCATAATGATTAAATGGTCAATTCACCACAAAGACAGACAAGGCAATCCTTAGTGTGCGTGTGCATAAAAACATAGTGGCAAAATAATGAGGCAAAACTGATAAAACTGCAAGGAGAAATACATGACCAACTAGTATAGTTGGAGACTTCAACAGCCCTCCGTCAGTATTAGGAGATGGAGCTGGCAGAAAATCAGGAAGGACACCGTTGAAATGAATACCACCATCACACAATGAGACTTAATTGAAAAACAAAATACTTCAGCCAGCAACAGAATATACATTCTTCTAAAGTTTGCATGGAACTTTCACCAAGACAGCCCACCTTCTGGAACATAAAACTAATCTTAACAAATTTGAAAGCAGAGAAGTAATAGAAAATATGCTCCCAGACTACCATGGCATGAACCTAGAAATCTGTTAACAGAAAGATAGCTTGAAAACCTACGAATATTTAGAGATTAAACAACATACTTCTAAATGGATCAAGGAATTCTCAAGAGATATTAAAAATTATCTTGAATTAAATGAAAATAGATGTTACCAAAATTTGGGTAATGCAGCATAAGACTAGAGAAAAATTTATAGTATTCAACACATATACTACACAAAAATATCTGTAATGAATAATTTGCATCTGCCTTAGAAAATTAAAAGTAGAGGAGCCAATTAAACCCAAAGTAAGCACGAGACAATAAATAACAAAGAGAAGAAATGAATAAAATTGTGGGAAATCAATACAGAAAATTAAAAAAAAGCAAAACCTGATCTTGTGAAAAGAACAATAAAATTCACAAATGTCAAGGTAACTGAGAAAATAAAAAGGAAACAAAAATTACTATCTTTTTTTTTTTTTTTAAGTCAGGGTGTTACTTTGTCACCTAGGCAGGAGTACAGTGGTATGATCATAGCTCACTGCAACCTTGAATCCTGGGCTCAAGCGATCCTTCTGCCTCAGTCTCCTGAGTAGCTGGGACTACAGGTGCATGCCACCATGCCTGGCTAACATAAATTATTATTATGACAAATGAAAAGGGGGAAATGAAAATACGTAAACATCTGACAAAATGCAATATCCACTTATGATAGCAAAGTAGGAAGACAGAGAAACTTCCTCTTCTTTAGAATCAACATCTACAAGAAACCTGCAGTTAACATCATAACCGAATGGTGAGAAACTAGATGCTTTCCTGGTAACATGAGGAACAAGGCAGGGAAATACCCTCTCACCATTTCTATTTAACATTGTATTGGAAATCCTAGCTAATGTCACAGCACAAGAAAAGGAAATACAAACTATATAGATTGGGAAGAAAAATAAAACTGTCTTTGTTGCATATGACGATTGTCTACATAGAAAATCTCAAAACATCCACAATGAGAAAGAAAACTCCTGGAACTCATAAGAGATTATAGCAAGGTCGAAGTATACAAAGTTAATGTACAAAAGCCAATTACATTTTCCAATAAAAATAAAATTTATAAGGATATAAAGATAGGTGGACAGCACAAATTTAACCTTTAAAAATATTTTTGTCATGTACATTGGTAATTGTGGTACAGTATCCTTTGAAAAATGAAAGTCTCCATTGGGAATGGTGGATCACTCTGATAATCTTCGCACTTTGGGAGGCTGAGGCCAGATGATCTCTTGAGGCCAGGAGTTGTATACCAGCCTGGGCAACAGGGAGATCCTGCCTGTACACACAAAAAAATTTATCAGGTCTCAGTGGTATGCCTGTAGTCCTAGTTCAGGAGGCTGAGGTGGGAGGATTGCTTCAGCCCAGGAGTTGGAGGCTGCAGTGTGCAGTGAGCTACGATCATGCCACTGCACTCTAACCCAGACAACACAGGCAGACCAGGTCTCCAAAAAAAAAAACAAGTCTCAAAATTTAACTTCCCTTGCTGTAGAACCAAAAGTGCCATATTATTCATTAAGCATTAATTAAAGAAAAACAGAATAACTACTAAGATCATTAATATTGCAAGAAACATTGGATTGCTCAAGAAGGGAATAATTTAAATAGAAACACTTTAAATTTTCTCAAGTAGGAAAGCTGTTTCTTTTAGATAATTCAACCATCTGAGATTTGTTCAGGAATATTCCCCCGAAGGCGTGTGGTCTCCTTGTGTAAGCCTAATGCCCAGAAATCAAAAAACTATTTGCTACTGCCTGTTTCACAAACACACATGAATGGGTCAGATGTGTCTCCTTTTCCTCCAGCCCAGAGGGAGGAAGGAGAATCTGAACAAAGTACAGAGATCATCCAACTTCATTACACATACAGAGGAAAGAGAACGGGATGGGTTTTCCAAACAGGACCAGGTCACCTCCCATGGGTACAAGGATAGCAGTTAAGGTCCAGGCCCAGGGATCCTTTCATCTTAGAAAGAACAACAGGAGGAAATGTGACCTGAAGACTTTTAGGGGCTGTGAAAATGCATAATTCAAAATCTAAGCTAGTGGAACTGTAAATTATTTTGAGCCTCAAAGCAACATCATTATGGGGTCAGAATCACCTGACAGGCTCCTATGTAACCTTTGTTTCTCTGGTTAGAGATTAGCCTTCTTCCTTACCTACATTGTTTTGTAAAATGTTATAAATAACTAAGGGGAGCCAGGGAAGACCAATCCTCTCTGCACTGCTGAGCTGCATTATGAAACCCACTATATTAATGTAATATGGTGCCATAAGGCAAGAAGTGTGGTAGAAGCCTGGTTTCTACAGAAGTACAGGCCTAGCTGCAAGATGACCAGCCATTGTTTCATAGCTTGACTTCCCGTAGTTGCTTACTCCTTAGGAGTCACTCATCCCTGGCTGTCATAAGACTAGTAACTTCCCTATTCACATCTATACATACCATCTCTATTGTAAAACCTAATATCTTTGAGGTATTTTCCAGACTCTGCATTCAAGTGGACCAACCCACACCAAGGAGACCAGTGGCCATACTTAGGAATTGACTCAACATGTCCTGGGACCCTCTACCTAGAAACTGACTCATCACAAGAAGACAATTTCTGTTTCCCAACCCTATGAGTTCATCCCCAGCCAATCAGCAACCCAATTGCCTAGCCTTTTGTCCCCCAGCTATCTTTAAAAACCCTGACTCCAAAATTCCAGGGGAGACAGATGTGAGAAATTTCTCATGTCTCTTTGCTCGGCACCCTACATATTATATTAAAGTATTTCTCCACTGCAACCCCTGCTGTCTCAGTGCATTGGCTTCCTTCTCTGCAATGGGCAATAGAACCCTGTTGAGCAGGAACAATTATAGATTAATTTCCCTCGTACCTTTCTCCCATGGACTTCAAGGCAGTCACATCTTAAGATGGAATATTAAATACATGCTATTAAATTGGGAAGGAAATGAAACCTTCTGAAAGAAAATAAAACAAGCAGTGTGGAAAAGAAAATAAACCAACTAAAATGTTGCAACTCATAACTCTTACACCCTTTGTCCCAGCAGCGCAGACCCCCGGGGGCCAGACGCCTCAGTGCCGCCAAGCCAGAAATCGGCCTGGCAACAGAGGGCACAGTGCCAGGAAGCAGCCGCTCAGTCCCGATCCCCTGTAGCTGTCCAGTGTCCTGTGTCGCCGCCCCCAGGCTCCAGCTGCAGGCCAAGGAGGAGCGGGCTGCGACGGGATGCTGGGCAGCGCTGAGGACGACAGCAGCCAGCCTCGGTAGCCCATGCTTGCGCCACAGCTGCAGCGGGGACCCGCCGGTTGAGCGTGAGCTGCGGAGGCTTGGAAACCTTACCCCCATCTCCTGCGACCCCAGCAACCCGGACCCGCACGGTGCCAAGAAGCTATCGGGGCTGGTTGCTGTCGTCCTCAGGGTCTCCCGGTGTCCCGTGCGGCGCCGGCTCCTCCTTGGCCTGCAGCTGGAGTGTGGGTCCAGCGACACAGGACATTCGGCGGCCACAGGGGATCGGGACTGAGCGGCTGTTTCCTGGCACTGTGCAGGGTCCCCAGTAGCCCACGCTGGTGCCACAGCTGCAGCCGGGACCCGCGGGTTGAGCGGGAGCAGCGGAGGCTTGGAAACCTTCCCCTCATCTCCTGCAACCCCGGCAACCTGGACCCCGGGGCCAGGGGCTTCGACTTGGGCCAAGCCAGGCGGTGGCGGTGGCGGTGGCGGTGGCGGTGGCACACGGGCGGGAAGTGGCTGCTGAGGCTGGATCTCAGGAGGGCCCTGCACCCACAGACCTCGCGATCCACGTGCGTGTGAGGAGCAGGCGCTGACCAGTGGTGTCCGCCCGTCCGCGCTCTTCCCTGTGCACACAGAGCGAGCGTGGAGAGGTTCCTGTCTGCGCTGAGGGTGGAGAAGGACTTCCCGGAACCCTCCTCGCGTGCTCTGGGGCTGGTGTCTCGGGCCTGGCGGGCAGCGCGCGGGGACCCGGAGGCAGCCAGCGGAGAGCCCGGCAATCCCGCGCGGCGGCCGCCACCTGCTGGCAACACCAACGGCCGGAGACAATTCGTTAGCTGCGGCGCGTGGGTCTTTGTGCGCGTGCGCAGCGATGACGCAGGCTGTCTAACGGTTGGCTTTGCCTTTACTGGTCTGACCGGCGGGAAGGCGCGGAGCCTGCTCCTTGGAGGTTTCGGCCAGACTCGGTTGGCTTGCTAGATTTTGGCTACAGAGGCGGAGAAAAAGTGAGGAGGAGCTGAGGTGTCTACGGACCGGAAGGCTCTACCCAAAAGAAGCTTTGAGCTTGAGCGGCAAGATGGGGTCCATCCTCTCTTTCCCTTCGAGGGCGACCCAACCTCCCCTGGATGAACAACGCCCCAGCTCGAACTCACTCCCCAGATGTGTCTTCCGCGACTGGAACTCACTCCCCGGATATGTCATCCTGTTGAAAGATCTGGAGAGGTTCCACAGAGCTGTCTATCTGGGCGAACTCGAGGAAGTGCGGAAGATGGTTTACTACAACAGAGACGTGCTAAATACCACGGACAAGAAGCACAGGTAATAGGAACCGTGGGCCCGGGGCTGGGGGCGGGCTGGGGGGCGTGTGGGAGAAGCCCCCCTTCCTGGGCTGTGCGGGAGCCGAGCCCTCCTGCCACCCAAGGTGCTCGGCTCTCTCCCCTCCGTGGGCTCCTGGGCACCTGGGACGAGGAAACCCCGGAGAGGTCCTGCTCCCAGGCCACCTTTGTGAGCAGCTTCACAAAAGCAAAACTTCATTTGAAAAATCAAAGTAAGAATTAACTTTGTTTAAAGAAGCATTGTTGTTGTTATTTCAGCCCTCTTTTTTCATAGTACTTTTAAAAACTAAAATTTATTTAAATGCCAATCGTATGAAAAGAACTGCCAGAGACCTGTTGTACATACCAAAGTTCACTGAATGTAAGTCATCATGGATTGTGTGATGCCCCATTATCTTATGTGTCAATAAGATAATTTTAAAAATGCTGCCGATTATAGTTATAATAAATGATGAATTACAAGTGGCATTCCAACGTCAGAGGTGTTAAAATGTGAAAAAATGAGCATCTTAGAATCATGGAAATACAGTTGTATCTCTCATCTTTAAAACTTACCACAAGGTAGATATTATTCTATCATTTTACTTAATCAGAATGTCATCATTGTTAGGTAGTAGTCATAGTAATTGTTATAATACCTAACAATTATTCAGCTGTTATTTGTGCCAGGAACTCTTCAAAACATTTAGCATAGTTTCTCATGTAAGCATCCTGTGAGGTGTCCCTACTATTCTCATTTCCATTTTATTGGTGAGGAAATTGAGGCACAGAAAAGCTAAGTCACAGCTAGTAAGTGACAGCTTAAAGGAGGATTCAAACCCAAGTTGAACTGAATCCAAAGGCCAATGTCTTTGTTTTCCAATAGGCTGCTCTTTCATTAATGCAGTGAGTACTAAGAACTAATAAATATTGTCCTATTTTCACAAGAAACTTAAAGATTTGTTTTGAAAACAGATGGAGTACCATATGATTTAATGTTTACAATTACCTGAATATGTTTTGAGATAGTGCACTCCAATTTTCTAAAAAGTCCTCTCACTTTCACAGGACTGCTCTCCATTTGGTCTGCACCAGGAGAGATACACGGATGCTAACTTTCCTGCTGGACAGAAAATGTGACCTTAACCCCCGTGATGGTGAAAACAGGACACCTCTGATGAAGGTATGTAGCTGCCAACTATTTCAGCATGAGATGGGTTTTCTTTAAACGCATAGAATAAAAATGAATTTATCTCATTTAAATATAACTAATAAGTGAAACCTGTGAAATGTTTATATTGAATTCCTAGAATTTACAGTCTATTTCTTGGTCTGATACTGACAGGCCGTACAATGCCAGGCACAGGACTACGTAATTATGCTGTTAGACCGTGGTGCCGATCCCAACGCTGTCGATGTGCATGGCAATAGTGCTCTCCACTATGCTGCCTATAAGGGAAACTTATCAATAGCAGCAAAACTGCGTGCTCACGGTGCCACTATGGAGACAGCAAATAAGGTATCGATCAACCAACTTTATTTTCAAAATATTGGAAATGCTTTTGTTTTAACATTGACCTAGGTAAGGGTCAATTTTCCGTGTTTGGAAATTCAAGCATTCTCTGAATGAAAATATTTTGAAATAATTATCTAAGGTTTTACTTGAAATATTGATACTTTTAAGGAAGCATTAGAGGGTACAGCTTCTTTTACGCATTTATGGTAAATATTTGTGATAACACTAAAGGTAAAAATTTTTTTTCAAATTCTTTTCCCACCCAATTTTTTTTTTTTGGTTTTCTAGTTTGTCTAAAACAACATGGGAAAGCAAATTTACCCTGGAAATGGCACTATCATAAAACTTGAACAAAAGAAATGCGTTTCACAGAAATGGAAATCTTGCTGTTGAGAAGTTCCTAAAAAAAGTAATTTCTGTGAACATGATTTACCTGTCAGTGGCAAGGCTAAAAAGGGAAAAATGGAAAGGGAAAAGGGGAGCTATCAGAAATGTGCAGGCCAATTTGAAAATTACATAAGTCAGGGAAAATACCAAGAAGAGGTTTTTGCATGTCCCCCCCCCCCTAGTTTTTATGTTTAGACCAGGAGCTCTTCAGTTGTGGGGATGATAATTGTCAGGTGCAGAGTGTTAGTGAGTGGTCACCCTGCCCGGGCATCAGTTGTAGGAGGACTCTGAGGAAAGCAGATTGGTGGTGAGTAGGTGGTGATGAAGTGGGCAGGAAGAGGGAAGAACAAATAATTCACTGATTATCCTATTGTGGCAGAAACAACCACTTAGATAAGAGTCTAAACTCTGCTCTCAAAAGCTAGAATGCCTTGATGGGAAGGTTGGAGAAAGTAGCAAAACCAAGTTGTATTTTGAGTTTACTAGTCCCTGTTCTCCCCCTACCCAGGCACATTAAATGGAATTTTCAGTAAATGACTCTACCTCTTACTCTTTCCTCTTTTTGGCCAGATCCCCAAATGATAACAGGAATTGGCCATGTGGGTAAGAGATGAGACTAAAGGGATCATCTACTGCATTAGTTCTCAGCTAGAATTGTGCAACACAGTGACCTGGGGAAACTAAAAAAAATAATTTGCAAGTCTAGGCTCTGCCTGAAGATTTCGATTTAGTAAATCTAATCAGGTCTAGACATGTATATTTAAAAATATTTCCTCAAAGCCAGGCACAGTGGCATGTGCTTATAGTCCAAGCTAACTGGGAGGCTGAGGTGGGAAGATCGCTTGAGCCCAGGAGTCCCTGAGTCCAGCCTTGGCAACACAGCAAGACCCTGTCTCTAACAACAGCAACAAAGTTTCCTCGAGATTCTGATCCACTCCTGGTTAAGAATCACTGAAGAGTTAAGTGTAATATATGAATTTCCATATCTCAAACACTTAAGAAATTTCTGGAAGAGTTGGAGTTTGATAGGTGCTACTTCCTTCAAATCTCTGCTTTCTGACAATACTAGGCTGATTTTTATCTGTCTTTCTCCATCTCTGTGGTTGAGAAGTTAAAAGGAATATTATTGGCTATATCTATCAGCTTACGGAATAACATCTTTTCCCTTTCAACCATTCACTGCCATTGAGAGGGTTTTTTAAATAGGAAATTTATTTATGTGTAGTCTTTGAATACATAGAGGCTGACCCTTTCAGAAGTTCCTGTCTCTTCGTTATCATTCAGGTGATGAGGTCAACACATGTTTACTACAAGTGGGGTTTTCTCAGTTAGAATAGTAGCAAGTCCTAAACCTTTTTTTCAGCTGAAGCTGTATTATGAACTATCTCAGTATGTCTGTTAAGATCACAGAGCTTCAGCATAGTCAGGACGGCAGTTTTAAACACAGAAACCCATGAAGTTAGTAAGAATACAAATAGGCATTCTTTTAATAATTCAATTTAAGCAGTTCCTATGAAGTAGTTATCCATTTTGTTAACAATCTGGAACAATTCAATATAAATAGTCTGTAACTGAATAAATGCTGGAAAAACTTTTGAAGTGGGTATTGTAAGTTTGTTTTTTTTTTTATTTCAGCATATTATGGGGGTACAGATGTTTAGGTTACGTATGTTGCCCTTGCCCCCTCCATTGTAAGTCTTCGTAGCAATTTTTATTCCATGTTGGGGCCTCATTATTTTGTTAAAACATATGATATGTAAGAAAGGAAAGATTTTACATGCAAATACTTGCTTTATTCACAACCATTTGGAAACACACGTATAGCAAATAATAAAAGCACAAGGTGTGTATTCTAAGTGAGGTTTAGTATGCTCCGATAAATTGAGTCAACATGTAAAATTTAGGAGACATGCAGAAATCTGGATTTTAGGCTTCTCTTGAAGAATCAAATTTGGTGTCAGGTGTCTCTTCAGAAATGTCTAGGTGTCCCTTTAGCCCATCTTGGTGTTTGGTATGCTGTGCAGAGTTTGCCCCTTCATAGGAAGCATAGATTGTCCAGTTTGGTAGTGTGCCCACCTAGGTCCTGTACTTACTCAGGTCACCTACCTTGCCTCTGTAAGTATTTGAGTTTATGACTCCTGTTTTATATATATGTTGGTGAAGGTTTCAAGGTTTTCCAGTTTATCTTTATTTACAAGATATAGCCTGTATTTTATATTCATCCCTTAGTAATGGGGTTGAATCTTAGAATTCAGAAGGTGGCTTTTTAAAAACTCTTTTTTCTTAATATATACCATAAATAATTATCCTCCTATTAGAATGCCTCTAAGCCTTTTTAGGTTAATCATGGTCATGGTTGGATTGGTTATGCACCTTGCAGATGACGTTACATGTTTCTTCTCAGCATCGTCCCTTAAAAGTGCAAGTGATTTAGTGCCTTTACTTATGCTAGAAATAATTCATATAGGTCAGTAATAGAACTTTTATTAAGAAACCATTATGTTTCTATTTCTGATTCATATTTTGCCTAAAATAAAAATAGTTTTAAGTTACAATTTAGAGGGAAACCAGAATAAAAATGGATTAAAAAGGTAGATATGCATTAGGGTCCCAGGATTACCATTATCATTGAGAATAAAATTTCATACTGAGTTTTTT